TCTCGCCAACACCGTGTTTCGGCCGCCGAGTTCGTCGGATCCTGGCCCGCCCTGTCCCCTCCGCAGGGAACGTGCCCGGTCGGTCACTGGTCGTAGCTGGGAGGTCGGTGTAGGGCCTCCCCGTCCCTCCTCGGTCCCCTCTTGCTAGCCCGGAGCCAGGAGCGTTTCAGTGTTGGGTGCCTCCAGTTACCTGAGCGAAGGTCGCTGGCGGCCTCAGTAAGCGTTAGCTAGAACTTGCATCGGAAAAGTTGTTAAATAATTGTTTGAACGTGTGTTCCCAGCCTGACTCAATCAAAATCACTCAAAAGAGTGATTTTGGGGTTGTATTCCCTGGGAAGTTTTGAATGGGAGAACGTATTTGTAGCTCCTAACAATGGTACAAGTTACGAAGTTTTGTGACTTGATACAAGTCATGATATTTTGAAGTACTAAGCACTAAACTGCACTTTATAGGCATATAGCCATATTTTAGTTTTTGCTTGATGTTCCAAAACATCATCGATTTTTCAGCTTCCTTCCTGAAGTGTGAACAGCAGACACAGTGCTGTATCATTGCTAAGAGCGATGAACACATTCTCCCATTCAAAATTTTCCACGCGATAGGCCCCCAAAGTCACATTAACTCTTTTGACCATTATGTCAGGCTGGGAACATGTGTTTAGATGATTACTTAACAATACCTTTCTCTGCTCCCATCCCTAAACTCTTCTCACAGTAGAGTAATTCAGCTATTATGTTCTTTTTGTAAGAATGGTGCATATTCATGGTTCTCGGAGAACAGTAGCTCTATATTTCATACCATTTACCTGAATTCAGCAAAATAATCCTGCTTGTTGTTTAACTTCTTCTGTTGTCAGTTACTCTTGTAACTTGTAGTGGTTTAGTTTAGTGACAAACTAAGTCTTTCAGACCAATTGTTCTTGTCTCTCTGAACTTATTGTAACTTTACTGAGTCCTTTGGGGGTAAAACACTTTTGACCCTTGATTACACAGCATCTATGAATAGTTGCAGTTAATTAATTTGCAGGCAACAGCAGGCATGTGGAAAAACGAGGACACTGTGGAGAATGTGCTTTTGATTTGATTTTTTTTTTTTCTTTATGATGTGGAGAGGATTGTTGTTGGTTTATATTTGGGTGGATTCCCATCATGGTCATTCATAGAGTGTCTGAAGGAAAAGACAGATCCTGTCTGTATGCCAAAATGGAAGGTGACATCTGACCCTCACGTGAGCGTGAAGCAGGAAAGGGCCGCGACTTGGTCATGGAGCGTATGGTGTACAGTTGTGTAGAAAGACTGGTGGTGGACTGACTTTGTGATTTGCACGGAATCACATAAAAATTGGTACAGTTTATAAACCACCACCTTCAGTCATCTCTAGGGCTAATTTTGCTGCTGTTAATACTGCCCCTGTAGCCTCTCTTAAAATTTGTTATGACTTAAGTCTTTTTGGTTTGGTTTTGTCGCAGGTTTACTAAGGTCAGGCTCATATTTATAGTCTGGAGATTGTTTTTGATTTGTCAGGAGGGCATATTTGTCTTCTTTTATGTGGTTTTTAGTACAGGTTTAGGTAGTTGTTAATGTTCCATGTGATTTGCTCCTCTTGGAGCAAATTGGAGAGTTTTGTAGTAATAATTTCCGTTATGAAACCACATGTAAATCTTGATGTGTTTTCTGTGGAGTTTTTTACTTACAATTTTATAGCTGGGAGGAAATGAACTTTTAATTTGTAGAGAGTTTTATTCACACAGTAACGCGCTGTTTTGTAATGTTAGAGATTGTAGTGAATAAATTTGTCTTTGGAAGCTTATTTATTTCAAAGCATTTGTTTTTAGTACTCCCATGGCTTTTATTCTCTAACGTGCCATCTTTTGCATTTTTCTTTGAATTTAATCAGTCTTGTACTTTAGTAATGGTTAAGAATTGACTGGTTGGATTTTGGGTGACGAGTACATAGAAGGTTGAATCTTTGCAGACATGTCTGAGTGTGTTTATTTTTTTACAACAGATAAATGAATAAATGATAAATCAGAAAACAGAATTTAAAAGCAGTGTAGATTGTTATTGTGAAGTTAACTTTTTTCCTTGTTTTAATGCTGGTCAGAAAAATAAGTCAACGTAAGTTAGCCTAGGCCTCAAAAAAGAGCTCTTGTTGGGCAAATCTGTGATTTTTTTTTTTTTTAAGTTACTTTTTAGTACACACTTCAATTTCAGCTTCATTATTTTTAGTGGTATGTGGGATTCTTTGAAACGGAAAAATGTTGGAGCATTTAAATTCTTTTTTTTATTGAGTATTTATTTAATACACAGAAAACCCCCAAATGTTTTTATTATTTTTTTGTGATAACTCTCTTTCTTTTCCTTTAGTATTCAACATGTGTATGGAGCTCAGCATCCGCCTTTTGATCCATTATTGCATGGAACGTAAGTTAACCTAATACTTAAAAGTTTCAGGTAATTTGGATCTCCTCTGCCTCCTCTCTTCTTCTTCTTCCCTGTTGCCTCTAAAGCTTATTGTTAATCTTCCTTTTTCAATTTTTGTCATAATCTTGACTTCTCTGTTCTAACTTCTCTTTTGTGACTTCCTGGTGCTTGCCATATTGGGAGCAACAAATCAGCTGTTCAGTTCTTGACTAATACAGATTGCCAACTTTTATTATCTGTTTGCAGTGCCTTATAAATTGGAAATTGTGTGGTAAATAATAATCTTAATTTAGCAGATGAAGCTTACAACTGAGGTGTAAGCAGCTTTCCTGCATGCACTTTATGTTGATGGATTGCCTTTGTCTGTCTGTAAGAGAAAAGGGTCAGATTGTGGAGTAGATCAGTTTGAGGCAAAGGTGGGCATTTTGCTTGTGAATGAGAAGATAATAGGTAGAATAGATTTTACAGTGATTTAAGAGTTTATTGCCTTAGATCATGATTATAGGATATCAGAACACAATGTACATGAAAGTGGCAGCATTATGTTAAACATCTTTAGTAACCAAATTTCATGCTGATAACCCACAACTAATGCAAGTAAATGATTTTCATCACCTTGTGGCTGACGTGTTTAGCAAAATGCTGCATTCTGACAGCTTCTGCTTTATTGTCTTTAGGGTTTGGTGTGGTTTTTTTTTTTTTTTTTTTTTTTTTTTGAAAGGCAGGAGATTTTAAGGTTTGTCAAGGACAAAGTTGTTTCTGGTTTGCTGGTAGATTTCACAGCTGCTTTGAAACCAGCATTGCTGTTAAAATGTTGGTGTACGTGACAATTTTGGGAAAATTGCATGACTGATGAAATGAAAGGCCCAAAGCAGTAAGGACAAAAAATAATATCAGAAGGAGAAGTATTGGTGTGGAAGGAAGTCATACTTCTAGTGGATTTTTTTGAAGGGCTGGTTTGAAATGGCACAAGAAGTAGACGTGGTAAATTTTCAGATGGTACAGAGTTGAAGGCAGTTTAAATCTGTGACCTTGAGGACTGAAGAAAAAGGATAAACTGGTTCAAAATGTGGAGTTTTAGAGACTCAGTAACAAAAACGAGAAGCTTATTGCTTGAAATGATGACAGAAGAGGAGGAAGACCTTGCTGTTTTAGACAATGATGTTGGGCAAAAGTGTTTGTGTTGTAGCACCTGTTAGGAAAGGTATTCCCCGTAATGCATAACAGAAATGTTACTGACATGGCATGAAGACTCTGAGAGAACTTTTTCAGATTTCCAATTCTGCCTGCCTTGTCTTAACAGAAAAAAGTTAAACTAGCACAAGGTGGAAAGACAGGGATGGTCAGAAGGGCCAATTAAGTTAATGGCAGTAACTTTTTTTTTTTTTTGAGAGCAGACTGGGAAACTCTTTCAACTCAATGCCTTATTTAGCTGAAATCTGAAGGGAGATGTGAGTGCTGTACATTACTGTAAGTGACAACTAACGCCAAGCTAGGGAGGGATGTCTGGCTCATCTCTCTTCTGCTGTGTGTTGACAGAGGGTTAGGAGCTGATCAGGGTATCCTTAGGCTAGTAACCAGAGAAAATGTCCTGTCTATGAGAAGAACAAAATTCTGAAGCAAATTTGTGCTGGAGTGCCTGAATGGGGAGGAATGATAGATCTAATGAATTTTAAGGTGAGGCATGATTTGTTTATGACAGTGATTGTATTATGCGATTGCTTATGATGATTTAGGAGTAGACCTGATGACTTTATTACTGCTCCTGTGTTGTTATGCAGCAATTGCATTGAAAGGCCTGAAATCTCTACAGAAGTTCATGGAGCAAGAGAAGTGCAATGTGTCCTGTTTGTCTTAGAAACTATTCCAGTAGTGTTTGTTTTATTGGACTTTAGGGTTGGGTTTTTTTTCCCCTCTGTTTTGCTTTGTTTTTTTAAGACAAGAGAAGGAAGGATTTGTTCAGCTTCTATTCAAAGCTAGGAAGAGTCAGTTTTTACCTGCCCTTATCCTCAGACATATTCAGCTGTATGTTATCATGGGTGGATGTAGCAGTAACATGAGTGGAGGGAGATTAATATTTGCTACCTATAATAATGTCAAGCATGGACTTTTGTTTTTTGGCCCTATCCATAGTGTTTTGTTTACTCCATTATACTAGTTCTCTAAATATTTTTTATTTGTTTTTGAACAGCTTGATAAAACCAGGTGCAAAGCCACCTACAACTCCAGTGAAACTAAAGAAAGTCAGCACCTTCCAAGAATTTGAAAGTAACACAAGTGATGCTTGGGATCTTGGGGATGATGATGATGAACTCTTAGCAATAGCTGCTGAAAACTTAAATACAGAAGTGGTCATGGAAACTGCTCACAAAGTAATTCAGAATCACAGCAAGTTACAGGAACAGCATAAATTTCAGGAAGAACATCTACAGGAAGAAAAAGAAGTAGAATCTGCAGAGCTAACTTCAGCTGTGTGTGGTGATAATAGGCTTGTTAAATCAGTCAGTGAAGGTCATACATCGAGTTCATCAGGTATGTTAAAAAATGAAAAAGATGTTGAAAATTAGATGAGGAGAGTGATAATATTTGCCCCTTAAGACATTAATCCATTCCCAACCTTTTCTTAATACCACAGGAAAAAAATCAATGTTAATTTATTTGAGGGAGATACTGCATGCTGTACTAAACCGTAAACCATGTGTGTGAGAAATACATGGGTGAGGGAATATTAAACTATTTTGTTTTCAGCCTTAATACATCCTCAGCTTTGGAAGGAAGTTTCGCTATTGAATGTATTTTAATGGTTAACTGCACCAAAACATATGCAATTAATAGTATTCCGACTATTGTGGAAAACTGTTATTAAAATGCTACTGTACGAAGGATATTGAAAAACTGGAGAAAACCATGCATGTAGACTAGGAAGTTCATCCTCATGTGATGTGGTCTGTGTTTTATGTATAAACTTTAAAGTAACCAATTACAGTGGGGTTTTTTTGTTTTGTTTTGTTTTTTTAAAGAATGGTGAGGGGAGAGAAACAGCTTTCAGTAGCACAGAGATTTTAGAAATTGGTTAACCTTGCTGTTAATGTGATCTCTAATTGATGTGTTTTAATTGTGGAATACTGCTTGGAAGAGGAATGTTCTTCCTGCTAAATCCAAGTCATTTGAAGTCCAATCTTGTGCTATACTTGAGCTTACATTTCTCCAAAACATAGTTCTATTTTAAATTTACAAATTAAGTTCAAGTTATTAGTAGCCTTCTCACTGGTTAAGGCTAACTTTTATGCTTCTTTTTCCCTTCAGATAATGCTAGTGAAAATTCTTCCATGCAGAGATCACAGTCCCTTCCACAAACTTCCACACCTCCCTTGGTGAGTGGAATGGCAGACTGTAATACCTCAGTTACTCCTGCATTAAGTGAAAGAGAAGCATCCCGATTAGACAAATTTAAGCAGCTACTTGCTGGCCCCAATACGGATCTTGGTGAGTATTTCTTATAGGAGCTAGGAATTATATCTAAATTATTCTTTATAAAATTTTCCTGTTTGATGTTCTCCCTGATGGTTTGGTTAGGATCTAATGCTTTCAACATTTAGAATTGTTCTTGCAAAAGACAGGCAGAATATAATTAAATGCTTGTAGTATTCATGCTTGTAATATGCAGTTTGCATACACCCTACTAATATGTAGGGTGTTAGATGGCTTCTTGTTCTTTTCTTTCTCACATTATTTCTTCTTACGGGGCTAATCTCTGGAGAAAAAGCCAAGCATAATCACCTGTGTTTAGTGTTAATGCCTCATAATGGAACAGCATGCAGTATAAGAATGATTCTCACACTTAGAAATATGAATGTGAAAAACAATGAGGTGTGGAAGTATTACTGCTTGTCTACTCAGCGAGCATTCTTCATGTTCACAGACTGATGCAGTAGTTCTGTGTCTCATCTGTGAATGCTGACAACATGTTAATGTGAGAACAAATGTATTGTCGGACCACTTGACTGTTCCCCTTGTGCACTGGATTTTAACTGCTGAATAGTAAATACAAGTGCTGAGAGGGTATCACAGAGTCAAATGGCTTTGTATCCCAAGTGAGAATCTGGAGTGAGTAGAAATAGTACACTGCATTTGCAGAACTTGGCTTGTCACTAATAAGTAGGAGTTTATGTCAAAATAACTAATAAAATCTACTTTGAGTTAGATAGTTCTGGAAGATATCTACAGGAAACTTATGGAAGGAAGTAGAAACTGCGTGTTTGCAGTTCTTGAATTAATGCTTTCCTGCACTCTAGTTGCCATGAGACTTCTTCAGTATAATATGGTCCAAGTCGTGGCTTTTTTCTTGTTTTTCTTTCTGTGCTGTGAGATTGATGCTAGCAAAGTAGAACTACGGAAACAATCCTAACTAGATGAGACTTAACGCTTCAGTGAGTTATAGGTTGTTCTTATAAAATGCAATAAACTCAGGGATGTTAAAACAAATTACATATTTTATATAACTTGAAAATGATAATCAAATATAACTTTTACTCCCTTTGATCTAACAGATGTTATGAGCGATGTGATTGTGAATGACATGAAAACTCGTATAACTTTTAAGAATGTTGTAATGGCAGAAATCTTTGTTACATAAGGTTACAAAGTCAGAGGGAAGACAAAGTTTAAATTAAACCTATCCATTTCACTTTTTCTGTCTAATTAGATGGGAATACTTTCCCAGTAAATCAAATTTAGGGATTAAAGTAAAATATTTTGGAAGGTACTGAAAGAAAATTTCCACTCTTATTAGGAGTGCAGCCACCCTGATTATGGTGAGAGTTCAGTCGATGTTATTTCAACAAACTGGGTTTGTTTTTTTTTTCCCTATTGAACTTTCTAAATCTTGCACAGAAATATACATAGGAATACGAAATTTGAGTATGTTGCTCTTGTATCTAATAAGGTCTCAATAATCTTTCTTGTAGATACCACTAAATGTCTTTTCTATGTCTGTTTATAGGAAGCTTGTTTTTTCCCTTGTGTACAAACTGTAATGAGTACAGAATTTGAAGTCGTTAAAATTAGAATTTTAAGTCCAGTTTTGATTTTTTTTTTTGATACAAATATTTTTACTTTTATATCTGGAATATATCCAGTAGCATTTCCTAATAAATCTATAAATGATCAATGATTTTTCTTAGTGAAAGAAATGAACTTTTTATTGATGTCATGCAAACTCTTGATCATGAAGCTATTAGTAGTAGATCGTATGTGATGGTAGTACTTGAACTACAGTATATGTATGTATTAGGGAAAGTGTGTGTATGCATATATACATATACAAACATGTATGTACATATGACCTATGTACAGTTCATCAAAATCTGGTGTGTGCATGCATATAAGCATTTTTGGGAGTTGTTTGGCTTAGCTCCATGTTACGATGACATAGTAACCTGGGCAACTGTTGTGGGTTGTGTGTGGTGGGGTTTTTTTGTAGGTTTTTTTTTTTTCCTCTTGTTTTTTTTTTTTGTTCTTTTTTTTTTTCAAAGTAAAACTGGAAATGGACTAAGGTAGAACTAGGTAACAGGCTCCAAGCTAAGATTTGTAGTGAGTAATGAAGAGGCATGTACCTATTCTGTCACAGCTGGCTCATTCTCTTTGTGTGTGTGTGTGATGTTGTGGTATGTCTGGGTCTTTGTTTTGTGTTAGATCCACAGATAGTTGGGTTTTGTTTGTCATGATGAATTGAATTAGTGGGTAGTAGTCCTGGAGACATTTTATAGCATGTATTTCTGTTTGTTTCTGCATGTAATAGTGTTGGTTTTGATTGGAAGTAGTAGTAGCAGAAGTATTTCAGTTGACTTTGTTTTCTTGATATAGTTTTGTGTATTGTTGAAGGAGATTATATGACAAGTCCTTTCAAAGCAATATAAAAATAAGTTAATCTGTGGAACTGAAACAATGTCATGCACATTTTCAACTTAAGGCTTTTCTCTTATCATAATGTGAGAAATCAACATGGACTAAGAACACAAAGTAATACAAATGACCTTGAAATCCTTTCAGTCACACTTGAATAATGATTATCCTATAAAGACAGTGTAAAATGCAACGTTAGCCTTGTATGTCAACTAGAGGTAATGAGAGAGAGTATTCTTTCACAAGAAAACTCTCAAAAAGATCGATTATGCATATAAATTCGGAAATGAAGATTATTTTAGCCATTGAAGTCCACTTATAGATTTTGGAAATGGGTTTGGTCCATAGGTTGGATGTTGTGAAGTTGTGGAAATAGGTAGGTTCTATCAAACCCATGAAATTATACACTGAGCAAAATAATATACCAGGTATAGTCTGAAATTGGCATAGGAATCCACTGGTAAATATTACATAAATACATAATGACAGAACCATTCTCAAAATTTCTGTGTACAGTTTTATCTAGTAGATGCTTACATACACAAATAGTAACTAGAGAAAGGCACAATCTGAGAATGCAAACTAGGAAAGGAACTGAAAAACCAAACCAGAATTCTCAGAATACAAAAGAATTCATTCTTTTAGGTTACTTAACTCTTATTTATGAATAAAGAGCGTATTTCCATGGCTCAAAAGTCCCCTTAACTAATTTTTTAATGTTTTGTAGAGCTGAACTAATAAACTCACTCTTGTAATTTATAATTGCCCTTGTAGTTGTTCTGAGTCTTCCCTGAACCCCTCCTAACACCCTTTACTTCTCTGTCCTGCAGGCATTTTTGTTGTTTGCATAATAGATGCAAATAATATGCCTTATTTCCATTTGGCACTTTTTATTTGACTGTTGCTATGCTGTTATTACCTCTAATGTAAATGGGGAAAGTATAATGTGAATTGTGTGTCAAGACTGGTTAGCTATATGAAAAAAAAAAAAAAAAAACACCCGGTTCCTATAGAAATGTTACTTCTAGGTGTATGATTTGTGCTGCAGGAGAGAGGTATTCAAGAGCCCTGACAACATATCTTCCAGTAGTAATACAATGCAAAGAATGGGGAGATGATCTCATAAGGTTGAAATTACAAAAGGAAAGCTGCTAAACAAGCCGAACCACGTTACGGCAAGACGTGGGCTGGTAGAAGGAGCCTTTTGTAAGAAGCAGTTTTGGTTGGAGAGGCACTTGAGGACTGACGCCCGTCAGTTAGATCATCCTGAGGTGTGCTGGGAGCAGATTCAGGAAGCGGGATTGGACAGGGGGAGCAGTAGGGCTGTGTGTAGGAGACAACTGCAGAGTAGGCGGTAGGGCCCAGGTGTCTGCACAGCCTCCCACTCCTGGTACTGCATGCCGGGTTATTCAGAGAGAACAATTTATGCCAGTTGCTTTGTGCAATCAACCTGTGCTTACGCTTGCCTTGCAGTCAATTTGACGTAGATTTACTTCATTTCAGGCCTTGTCTTTCCTTGTAATGGGCCTTGGGTTACTGAATGAAGATCGGCTCTGTGCTTGCAGATTCTTTTGTAAAGGATTGATTTAAGAGGAGAGGAGGGGACGGGACTTTAACAAAGCAGTGTAGGGAGAGTGTCTCTGAGAAGAAATTTCTCTTTCCTTCAGGAGATCACTGTTTACATATTTGAAACTGGCAGTACTGCTGTGTCTATCCAGTTGCCAATTTAAGTTTAATTCCATTAAAATTGTTAGACTTGTGTTTTTAAGTAGTCTCATACAATAGTTTAGGGAGCTGTTTGCTGTGAAACACAGTATAAGTAAACTATGTTGATAAAATCAGACTGACTTATAACAACAGACAAGTTATCCCATACTTATAACATCAGCGTAGCAGATGTATGATGGCTTTTGTAATATTAATTTAAAGAATAGCTTATTAAAGCTTAACTCCCTCTTCCTCTTAAAATCAACTGATTTTCTGCTTTTTTTACACACATATAGCTAATGTAGGTAATTGGATGTCAGAAACATTTAAATCAAACAATAACCAATAATAAGCTTGGTGTACTGTGTTCTCTTTATTTAATAAATAATTTAATTTAATAAAGCATTCGTAACATTGTAATGCTACTATTATTCAGGGCAGGTTTAGGCTAGACATTAGGAAAAACTTCTTCACTGAAAGGGTTGTCAGGCTCTGGAATGGGCTGCCCAGGGAGGTGGTAGAGTCCTCCTCCCTGGAGGTATTTAAAAGAAGGATAATGAGGTGCTTAGGGACATGGTTTAGGGTCAGGGTTAGGTTAAAGGTTGGACTTGATGATCTCAAAGGTCTTTTCCAACCAAAGTGATTCTATGATTCTATGATTCTAAAGACCGAGCGGCTCCTTGCCCTGATATGAAACTCACTGAAAGAAGCTAACCAACTGTCTCCAGGAAGACATAGCACATGTATATAAAATTTCCAAAGTCAAGACAACTAACTCCTTAATCTCACAGAATCACAGAATGGCAGGGGTTGGAAGGGACCTCAGGAGATCATCTAGTCCAACCCTCCTGCTAAAGCAGGTTCACCTAGACCAT